AACATCCCTTTCAAAACGAGAATCTTTCCCTCTAATCTATCAGGATGAAGATAATCGGGCACAAGTTTTAGAAGCAAATCTTGCATGATCAAAGATCATAGGCTAAGCTCTGAAAATTATGAAGAATAAGTACTCCAAATCCTTACTTCAAACACTTGCATATGTTTTTTTACAAAATATAGATTTTAAGCAAGAGTTCAAAAGTGAAATAAGATACTAAGATTCTCTTCGCTCCTTGACAGGAAAATAATTTAGAAGAAACATGAAAGGCGTGTTAACATGATTTCGAACATTTTATTTTTTTAGGAGGTTTTCTTTCCTTAACCAGTTTTGTACACTATTTTCCCTTGATGTATTGGTTTTTTGGCTCTTTTCCTGCCTCTTTTGTCGGTTTTAATGGCACTATATTTTGTTTGCATATCAAATTTTGCCTTCCAGGTTCAAAGGTGTTTTACACCCATCTTGGCGTCCCCAGAAAAACTAAACAGTTGTGTTCCTTTGTGACACCAAAAGTGATTTTTTTCTCTACTTAAAATACCATCATGTTATGAAATACCTCCACACCCATAAAGCTCCATTCTGAGTGATATATGGTTGTACCACGTGACTGGCAAAAGTCTGATATAACGAGCTCTGATTGGTGAGATCAACTTGTTATACACAACTGTATCACTGTCTTGATTGGCGTGAAGTACCTGATAGTTAAAACCAAAATCAGCTGAGCTCAAGTAGATACCTCGCTTTCGTAGGACAGTTCATATATACACAAAATTTGGAAAGACTGATAAACTTAAAGGAGTGTCATTTGGTCCTATGTCCACATCGTAATTTTAAAGGTTTATCAGATTATGACGAAACTTCACTGATTCATAATGATGCCAACATTTTGTCAAACAAAAAAATTGAGTTTATCTTCCAAAACGAATTTTCCTTTCGATCTTTGGATTATGTTAAAGTTAGCCAAGTCAAACACAGACACAATGCTGTTGATCAGAACATTTTTAGGTGTGTTAATTGATCGATGCAATGCTAAAAAAGCCAGACAACGTTATACTATAAAGTTATGGTACATGTAGGTAAGTTTCAGGGGAATCTTTTCCTTTTCAGTACCTATTAAGAAGAGATTTGTAAGGAAAACCCATTCAGAGAATGAATTCATACAATGATAATTCAAAGACACTTTACTTTTGCAGACATTTTCCCTGGCTCTTTGTATGACTGGAAGATCACTCCGTCAAAACTAAACTGTAACGTGAAAGTTGCAATCCACTGCCGCCATTTTGTTGAGTTCCTTCCCTGAGTCGCCACACCTGTTACAGTGGTGTGACTGCCAAGATCCACCTGAAGCCATTGGTTACGATCATTTTTAAGAGACGACCAACCCCCTTGCTTGATTCCCTGTTCAATGAAGTTCAGTCTCGCCTGTCTTGGTGTGCTGTTGTTGTTCATTCGCGAAGAAGCAGTTATCTGGGCATCCGAAATCGCGCCACTCTCCATTCCAAGGGCTCCTGCCAATTAAACAAACAGAAGAGGTCAAGCATTATTTATCTGTAAAATGTTCGATTGTATCAAAATTTTGTCTTCGGGATCTTCTTAAGATACGTCTCAAACTCTGAAATTGTGCTAAGTAATTTTGTAATACTGTCAGTCAACAAACTCTTACCAGAACACTTAACAGCGCTATAAGAGGCTTGGAACCCATAGAAAGAACCATTCTTATCTGATCTGAATATTACGAGGAGACTGTTTGACGAGGAATAAATTCCATTCTTGGGGGGAGACTGACCCCCATAGAACACTCCTAATACCTTCCCTGTCTGGTCATTGCCATCGTACACATAAACAGCGTCCGTGTTGTTCTCAGATTGTAGACTGAAGCGTGTAAACATTAAGGCCACCTGAAAATATGCTTTCACCATGATCCTCCACATGCAGTATTGCCCATCTGGGTATATTTCGGGATAGTTAGGTGAGTGAATGACGCCTTTTTGTCCCTGTAAAGTTTGGTTTTGACATTTATAGTCTCCTACGAGCAAGAAAAAGTTAGTTGGGGTTATTTTCATTGAGCTCGAGGGCACAAAAAAATTGTCACAAGTTTCCGCAACTGCATGTAGTTATGTCCATTCTCGCAGTCCATGAAACTCGTTCTCTATCACCTTTTCGTTTCACTCTCAATCAATGCTCAATCCGATTGAGTAAAAGAGCCGAATTTAACTAACAAGGACACCTTTTTCGGAATACCGGTCGATCAAGTTGGAACCCAAAGATAAAGCTTTTTTCACCGATTCATGTACATCGGTAACTTGTAATAACAAAGAAGGACGAAGAGATCTTAGAGATTTACCTGTTGGTTAAAGGTATCT